TCAAATATTCATCCCGTTACATAGGCTTAAGTAATTTTCACTTGCCAAAATCAGCCCAGCCTGTTCATTTTTAATGAGACTACTGTAAAACAGGTTCCGTGGCCACTGCCAAGCACGAGGCTTTGTTTGCGCAAAGCGTGGGGTTTTTATATATATATCGAACTCCCCAAAGAAAGGGCTGTAAATAATGCAAGACGCTCGCCGCGAGATGTGCCGTTCTTGCAAGTGGCGGGCCCCTAAGTCAGCACTCTGGAAACGCGGAGCCTGTTTGCAATGGGGTCTCCGGGGATGGTCTCTGGGGGACCATTAAGAGGCCAGAGCGAAGAAGAACCTGGAAAATAACATCTCCCCTCAAGGCACCGTCCAAAGGCTGGGCTGCAGCACACCTGAGCCCTCCTCAAGACCTCGTCCCCGCGCTCCCTTTTAACTGTCCAGTCACCAAAGAGGAACGTCCCTCGTTTTAACCTTCCCAGCTATTCTTGATCATTAAAGGGAGGCTTCTCCTACAGAGAAGGGGCGGCTGGAATGCTATATTTATCTGAAAGGGGGCGAGAGGGCTCTCCCCTCCCCTACAATAACTATTTCCAGCATAGGAGGGTGGCCTTGCAAGCTGGTTAGGGGAGCCAAGGAGCATCGGTTATTGTGCATTTTTGGGTGGGGAAAGGAAGAACGTCTTCGATTCAGAGCTGTCTTTCGGAGAAGTGGATTAGCAGCTCTGTTCTCTTCTGGGGCAGAATGCAGCAGCGGTTGGGGGTGTGGTCCTGAAGAGGGGGGCTGAGTCATTTTAAGGCTTCCCTGTTGGGTTTTGCTCTGATTTCCTGGGGGCAGGTTCCCCGCTTGGGTGTTTGAACGGTGCTAAGCTTATCTGAGCCAAAGTTTGGAAGGGGGCAGCTGTAACATAAAAGAAGAATTATAGACAAATCTGAGGTTGCAAGTTGGCCATCCTTGCTTAGGAGCAGAAACACACACGCGCCTTTTCTTCTGCTGACATCACTCCAAATCACAGCTGCTGAACTGTCTTTTTTCTGTTTTAATGAGACAGGAACTTCCCTCCACACCTCGCCATGCAGCCTTTTCAAAAAGCAAAATGAGGTTGTGTCCAGGGGTGAATCCTTGCCCTCCTGGTTCTTCTCTGGCTCCAAACCCTTCTCAGAAACCAGTTTCCTTTCTTGCTCCAACTGTGCATCTTCCAGACTTTCAGATGTGAAGCAAGCAAGAAAGCTGTTCAGGGAAGCAAGTTGGTGGGAAACAGCTGGAGAAGGAAGGAAGGAAGGAAGGGAGGAAGGAAGGGAGGAAGGAAGAGAGGAAGGAAGGAGAGAGAGGAAGGAAGGAAGGAAAGGGAAAGAGAAAGAGAAAGAGAAAGAGAAAGAGAAAGAGAAAGAGAAAGAGAAAGAGGCAGGCAGGCAGGCGGGCAGGAAGGAAG